AGAGCAAGACTCTGTCTCAAAAAAAAAAAAAAAAGAAGGTGGATTGGCTCACTGAGAAGATGCATGCTTGGGACTTCACTGCCATGCATGGAGATATGGACCAAAGGAATGAAATGTGATCATGAGGGAGTTTTGTTCTGGCTCTCACAGAGTATTGATTAGCACTGACCTGCAGCCAGAAGCATTCATGTGCAGCAGGTTTCTTTAGTTATCAACTGTGACCTTCCCACCAACAACGAAAACTGTATCCACAGAATCGGTTGAGGTGGATGGTTTGGCCATAAGGGTGTGGCTATTAACATGGTGACAGAAGACGACAAGAGGACTCTTTAAGAAATTGAGACCTTATACAACACCTCCATTTAGCAGATGGCCCTCAATGTTGCTGACCTCATCTGAGGGGCTATCCTGCTACCTAGCCCCAGCCAGGATTCAATCGTGGGAAACTGAGGAGCAGCAGGAGGCAGAAGGAAAGAGAGCCAAGGAATGGACATCCTGTAATTTTTTTCTTTGAATAAATGTCACTTTTTGAGGGGAAAAAAAGGCGGAGGGGAAGATCTGAATAGGCATTTCTCAAAAGACGACATACAAATGGCAAAGAGATGTATGAAAAAGTGCTCAATATTACTGATTGTCAGCGAAAGGCAGATCAAAACTACAATGTGATATCATCTCACCACAGTTAAAATGTTTTTTATCCAAAAGACAGGCAATAACAAATGCTGGTGAGGATGTGAAGAAAAGGGAACACTTGTGCGCTGTTGGTGGGAATATAAATTAGTATAGCCACTATGAAGAACAATATGGAGGTTCCTCAAAAAACTAAAAATAGAGCTACCATATGATCTATCAATTGTACTGCTAGGTATATAACCAAAAGAAAGGAAATCAGTATATCGAAGAGATAGATACCTGTACTCCCATGTTTGTTGCAGCACTATTCACAATAGCCAGGATTTCGAAACAACCTTTATCCATTTGTCAACATACGAATGGATAAAGAATATGTGGTACATGACTAGGTACTGTGGTTCACGCCTGTAATTTCAGCACTCTGGGAGGCCGGGGCAGGTGGATCACCTGAGGTCGGGAGTTCGAGACCAGCCTGACCAACATGAAGAAACTCCATCTTTACTAAAAACGCAAAATTAGCCGGGCATGATAGCGCATGCCTGTAATCCCATCTACTCAGGAGGCTGGGGCAGGAGAATCTCTTAAACCCCAGAGGTGGAGTTTGCAGTAAGCCAAGATTGTGCCATTGCACTCCAGCTTAGGCAACGAGAGTGAAACTCCATCTCACCAAAAAAAAAAAAAAAAAAAAAACAGCCTCCTGTAAAAAAAAAAAACAGAGGGGGATTTTATGTTTAAAAAAAAAAAAAAAAAAAAAAAAAGCCAGGCACAGAAAGACAAACTTCCCATTGTCTCATGCATTTATGAGAGCTAAAAATCAAAACAATTGAACTCATGATGACAGAAAATAGAATGATGCAAGTTACCAGAGGCTGGAAAGAAGGTGGGGATGGGTGGGCAAAAGTGGGCATGGTTAATGGGTACAAAAACATAATTAGATGGAATGAATAAGATCTGGTCTTTGATAGTACAACAGGGTGACTACAGTCAACAATAATCTACTGCATTTTTTTTTTTTTTTTTTTTTGAGAAGGAGTCTCGCTCTGTCTCCCAGGCTGGAGTGCAGTGGCGCGATCTCGGCTCACTGCAAGCTCCGCCTCCCAGGTTCATGCCATTCTCCTGCCTCAGTCTCCCGAGTAGCTGGGACTACAGGTGCCCGCCACCACGCCCGGCTAATTTTTTGTATTTTTTTAGTAGAGACGGGGTTTCACCGTGTTAGCCAGGATGGTCTCGATCTCCTGACTTCGTGATCTGCCCGTCTCAGCCTCCCAAAGTGCTGGGATTACAGCCTTGAGCCACCGCGCCCGGCCTGCTGTGTATTTTTAAATAACTAAAGTATAACTGGAATGTTTATAACAGAAAGAAATGATAAATGCTTGCGGTGATGGATACCCCATTTACCCTGATGTGATTTTACTTACTGTATGCTTATATCAAAATATCTTGGCCAGGCACGGTGGCTCACACCTGTAATCCCAGCACTTTGGGAGGCCAAGGCAGGCGGATCATGAAGTCAGGAGTTCGAGAACAGCCTGGCCAATATGGTGAAAACCTGTCTCTACTAAAAATACAAAACTTAGCCGGGTGTGGTGGCACACGCCTGTAGTCCCAGCTACTCGGGAGGCTGAGGCAGGAAAATTGCTTGAACCCAAGAGGCAGAGGTTGCAGTGAACTGAGATCATACCACTGCACTCTAGCTAGAGCAACAGAGTGAGATGCTGTCAAAAAAAAAACAAAGCAAAAAGCCCCAAAAAACCTCATATACTCCATAAATATATTAATATATATCTACTAGGTACCTGTAAAAAATAAAAATTAAAAAAAGGAGTCTTTACAAAAAGACAAATACCCCAAAATTAAAATGAATGAGGCTAAGGTGGGAGGATCACTTGAGCCCAACAGGTGGAGACTGCAGTGAGCCAAGATTGTGCACTCCAGCCTGGGCGACAGAGTGAGACCCCGTCTCAAAAAAATGTACATAGTTTTGCAAATTTGGTACTATCAATGGGAACATAAATGTATATGAGCCTTCTTAGTGCATTCTGGCAATCCGTATGAACATGGAAGTTCGCTTCGAGAAATTTACCCACAGAGGTAATTATAAAAGGGCAAAAAGTTGAAGGCACAAGGATATAGCAGGATTTATGAAAGAAAGCCACTGGAAGCAACTTACATGACATCAAGAGGCTTAATTAAATAAACTAAGGTCATTAAGGATAATGTAGGTTTGTTATAGAAAGATGTTAACGTTGCTAGGGAGGGAAATGTAGGTTATAAAACAGCATATATAGTATAATTCAAAATTTCACATAAATGTATATATTTATAAGAGATTTCAGAAGGCTATTTAGCAAAATGTATACAGTGATAATCTCAAGTAGAGGTAGATTGGGATAATTTCCTTTAAACATGACCACATACATGTTTATCTTCATTTTTACTTTCTACAGTGATCATCTAATGGCTTTTATCTCAGAATTATTTTTATAACTTTCTCAGTATTTTTTTGTAACTATCACTCTTAGAACTTTTTTTTTTTTTTTTTTTTGAGAGGGAGTCTCACTCTGTCGCTCAGGCTGGAGTGCAATGGCGTGATCTCGGCTCACTGCAACCTCTGCCTCCCCGGTTCAAGCAATTCTCTGCCTCAGCCTCCCGAGTAGCTAGGATTACAGGTACCCACCACCACTCCCAGCTAATTTTTGTATTTTTAGTAGACACAGGGTTTCATCATCTTCACCAGGCAGGTCAGAAAAATATTTTATGCACGTCATTTTATAGAGTATGTTACTTACTTACACCACAATGTGGTGAACACATTCATTCACTGAAAAAACAAAAAAAAAACAAAAAAAAAACTACCCGGATGCATCAAATAACTAGCATCGCTAGTAACATATTTCATATGTGTATCATTACATAATATAATACTTGCACCATAGTGTGATGAACATATTCTTTCACCGAAACAATCAGCATGATGATCATCTTTTCTGATTGCTATAAACTTAATATATTTAACTTACAAATTTTTCTGGAATTAACAAAAGATTGTTAAGAATAAGCAACCGCCGGGCACGGGGGCTCATGCCTGTAACCCCAGCACTTTGGGAGGCTGAGGTGGGCGGATCACGAGGTCAGGAGTTTGAGACCAGCCTGGCCAACATGGTGAAAACCCGTCTCTACCAAAAATACAAAAATTAGCCAGGCCTGGTAGTGCGTGCCTGTAATCCCAGCTACTCAGGAGGCTGAGACAGGAGAACCGCTTGAACCTGGGAGGTGGAGGTTGCAGGAGCCGAGATCGCGCCATTGCACTCCAGCCTGGGCAACAGAGCGAGACTCTGTCTTTTAAAAAAAAAAAAAGAAAAAAAAAAGAACAAGCAACTCTGTATTAACTTATTTTTGTGGGTTATAAAGAGAGTGAGAATTGGAGAAGTACAACTGACAAAGAAACCTAATAAACAGGACATAAAAAGAAGCCACTTGCCTTCCTCAGGTTAAGCTATAATTTGATTCATTTATGAGGCACAGGAAGGACAAGTATTTTCACTCCATCTTTTTGTGCTGGGTAATATTACACAATAATATGTATTAAAAAGCCATTTATCTGAAATGAAATGTATTCTTGAAACCTATCTACAGAATGTAACAAACAAAACCTTTAACCCAAAACATTCTTCTATATAAACCTAGGAACACACCCAAGTGAATATCACCAGTAAAGTTTCCTAGATTCTGTAGAAATGACAAACTATGAACAAAGCAATATATTTTCATGCCCTCATAAATTATCAAATGAGCTTCCCCAAAAATCACAGAAGCAGGGTCATACGGAGAGTCTTTTGCTAGTTTGCCCTCCACTCCCAAACAGGCTAAGTCACTTAAGATACAGATGTGGATAAAGATAATTTTGTACAATGCCATTCTTTAGCCACTAGGTTTCCCACGTTTGGGGTTTACAAAATCTATAAAACCATAGGGTTATGGAATACAAATAAAATCTAACCCTAAATAATCTTTTTCTTTACCATTGCTGACATTCCTCAAAACCCTAGATCTTTTCTTTCAAAATAATGAAAATTAGCAGGAGGCTCATCAACAACAGACTCTCAGGGTCTCACTGTCAATAAAATCGGTGCCATGAAACAATCAGTGTGCTTCTGGGGAAGAGTCTCTAAGTGGAAACGTAATACACAAAAGGATGATAAACGTTAAAATGTTTTCCTAATTGGGGGAAAAAATTCAACAGCTATTGAAAAAATTCAATAGCTAAAATTCAACAGCTAAATTCAACCAGTAAAAGGCTGCCTTTTATTGAACTGTCATGCTATCTCTTCAACAGGCAGGCAGTGGAGACATTCTAAGAGCATTACCTTTAGGAGGAAAATACGACTTGCTTTCAGCTTTGTGAGGCCAGTCTACCACGAGAGGTCCAAACCTGCGAAAGCTGGCAGTGATCTCATCTACAAAACAAAGAAAGAATCTTAGCAAAAGAGAAAAAAATATTGCAATCAGAAAACCAGAATAGCACAAAACATGTCTTTTGAGTTAAAAAAATGTTTTGAGGGTTGTTTTCTAAAGCATTTTTACAGAAGTGAAACCTACTAAGTGAAATACCATTGCTTGGGTGTACATTTGGTTATTCATTTTTAATCATGTAAAGTGTGTTTCTAACTATAATTCATTTCTTTTCACTGCCAATAAACTTGACATAAAGAATTTGGAAGAAAAATATCTCATATTAAACTAAGGTGACTTCTATGTCAAATAGAAAGATTCTAAAAATAGGAATGTTCTCTGATTTTTAGGAAGAAAGTAAGGTACAGAAAATATTTAAAATATGGTTTCACTTGTATGGAACCTCTAAGATTATTTAAGAAATAGATATGATTCTTTTGGTGAGGAGTAGGGGCAATAAGTAGGTAATTCCATTGGGTGATAAGAAAATGTTGACAGCCAATGCTATCTTTAATAACTACATATTACATACCCTATATAGAAAATACATCAAAAATTATAGATCAACACATTTATATTTTCCTTCTGACATATGACTCAAAGCAGAGGTTCTAGCCTGGCTCCTACTCAGGTTTAGGGTACCACTCTCTCAGCCATGATCTTAAGAATTGTCTTGAAGAAAATCTAATCAATAGATGAGATTAGCATGAATACAAGAACAATTTGGAGGAAAATAAGCGTTCAGCTATGTATAACTTTAAAGTAGTTAGTCTAAAATAACACTACTTTTTGAGACTTTTCTCCTCTCACCATGAAAAAAGGAAATCATGATAAATTAGAAGTGTGTCATAGCCAGAAAAATGCTGGAAAAACAAGACTGTTAGAATATCAGACAGTATTTTTATATCAGACCCAAAGCCTACTGGAACTAGAGTTGTTTTTTGCTTAAGTTAACTTTGTCACAATTTTATTTCATTCATCCTTTCAACAAATATTTATTGACAACTTACTGTGTGCTAAAATAAACTGGCTTTAGGCATAAGTGAACACTCACTTTTGGACTGATAGCATCTCAAAACTATTATTAAGAAAAATTCGAATTCATTTTCATTCTTTTAAAGAGGGGGATTATGCTTTTTAAAATAGGTATTTGTTTTTATTTATTTATTTACTTATGAGACAGGGTTTCACTCTGTCACCCAGGCTGGAGTTCAGTGGTGTGGTCACAGCTCACTGTAACCTCAAACTCCTGAGCTCAAGTGACTTCCCGCCTCAGTCTCCCAAGTAGCTGGGAATACAGGCATGCACCACCATACCCGGCTAATCTTTTTATTTTGTAGAGACAGGGTCTTGCTATGTTGCCCAGGCTGGTTTTGAACCCCTGGGCTCAAGTAATCCTCCCACCTTGGCCTCCCAAAGGACTGGGATTACAGGCGTGAGCCACTGCACTGGCCAGTATTTATATTAAAATGTGAGATGGTCTGGTGTGATGGACATAAGCAAAAGCTCTGGAATCTAATTGAATTTGAGTTGTAACTGCACCATCAGCTATATAACCCTGAACAAATTATTTCTCTCTGATACTCAGTTTCCTTATCTATAAAATGGAGATGCTAGGATATCCTTATAAGATAGCTATGAGGATTAAATGAGATAATGTAACATGAAGTACTTAGTACAATAATAGACTATTACTTTCTAATCTACCAAATAGTCTCACCTCCTATACACTAAGATATAAATGTCCTAAAGTTGACTTGGAGAGGAGAGGCAGGGTCAGAACACACAAAGAACAAACTCAGCCTTTGCAAAATCATTAATGAATGCATAGTACCTTCATCAATATCAGGAGGAAGGCCTCCAACAAACACCTTTCTAGAGTAGCGTTCTACTCGTTCCCCATTTTGACAGCGAGTGGGAGAACTTAAGCCAGATGACAAGGCCTGATCGCCGTGGCTGTCGTCCAGGAAGGCATCTTCAAAGGGAAAGAGAGAAGATCGACCTGAAACAAATGTGGGAGTTTCTATAATTAAAATGATTTTCTAGGACAATAAATGCTCTATTAGAAGCCCAAAGTGCAGAGAGAAGCATACAAAAAAAAGTGTCCTGAGTTGTGGCTTTTCCAAGATTACCAGGACTGAAGATTACCAGATCTAGATAACTTTTTATCATCATTTTTGTGTGAGGGTATGCACAGCCTTGGGATGACCAGATTGCTAACTAAAGAAAAAGAATCGTCCAGCTGGGCATGGTGGCTCATGCCTGTAATCCCAGCACTTTGGGAGGCTGAGGTGGGTGCATCACCTGAGGTCAGGAGTTCGAGACCAGCCTGGCTAACATGGCAAAACCCTGTCTCTACTAAAAATATAAAAATTAGCCAGACATGGTGGTGCATGCCTGTAATCCCAGCTACTCAGGAGGCTGAGGCAGGAGAATCGCTTGAACACAAACCCGGGAGGTGGAGGTTGCAGTGAGCCAAGATCGTGCCATTGCACTACAGCCTAAGTGACAAGAGTGAAACTCAGTCTCAAAAAAAAAAAAAAAAAAAAAAAGCATCAAAATTTCAGTGGTTTCCTTGCTAAAAAATCACTACATTTTACTCATTCAGTCTCTATCATAGCTACTAGGAGTATATTCAGCAGCTTTTTTTTCTTTCTTTAGTCATTTCTTAAAATAAATGGACAAAGTAATCTCTATCCACAGATTTTTACCTGCTCTTTAAAGTATCCTCAGAGGTTTAGTTCTAAAGAGTGGTCCTGATAGCCAAGGGAATACAAAACTGGTGACAGAGGCTGATAACTTCTTTTCTAATAGCAGAACTAAAGATCATCAAGTTTTCCTTGTCATTCCAAGCTACTCCAATTTGGAAATAAACATATGCAATAATAAAGGACAGGGTAAATAAATGAAAACACATAACTTAAGATGTGGGAGTATAAATGTGGATGTGGTTATGAAACCTTTAACCCTACTAATTTAGGCTATATTTTATATCACTCAAAAAATATATAAAAAGAAATGAAAAAAGAATTATTTTCATTAACTTTATAGCCAAATAAAGTTTGTAGAGCAAAAGTACCTACCCACTCCACATGACTATAAGAAAGATACCAGCAGTTAGAGTCAGCAGTAAATTTACCAGCAGTAAATGTAATACAATAATGCCATTTGGCATTACAAAATAAAATCTAAATTTAAAATCAAATATATTTCCTGTTTGAGTCAGTGACTTCCTAGTAAAACTTTCCACTAGGTTCCACTCTAAAAATGAATCATTAGAGCACTCTAACTTTTGGGGGGGAAGGGAAAATTCCCCTCTAAAGTAAATTCATATACTCTTTTAAAAAAAAAAAAAAAAAAAAAGCAGTGTCTTCCCCATTTAGTCTATCCTATCTTTATTTCCCTGAAACCTAGGTTTTTGTGTCACAACAGCCATTCTATCAATAGCCCTTAGAAAAATATTGAACATGTAATTCTTTTACAAAAAAGTTAAAGTTATTAATATAACTTTGGTTATTTCGTGAACAACCCAGTTAGTGTAAGAAAGACACCGTTTTAATGCTGGGATTTAAATAAAAAGACCAAAGAATTTTTTGTTCAGTTTTCCCCAGCTTAGCTACAAAGAAACAGAACAAAATCTGTCATCTCATGCCACCTATCTTTTTTAGCCTGGCAGCAACAAAAAACAGACAGTAAATTCTCATCCCCTGATGTTTGTTTTGATCACTGGGGGTGAAAGAAATACATTTGCAGCAACTATAAGCAAAAAGAGCTTCCCAAAAACATCCAGTGACATTCTCCTAGAGCTGACAGGTTTGCTTTATTCCATAGACCACACTCAGTGAATTACATGCCTACTCAGTGTCAGGCACATGCGCAAATCAGCATTTCCCACTGAGTGTTCCTAACTCCACCTCTTACCTTCAACACTAGCAACATTAGATACTCAGAAAACAAGAGCTGGGGAAGGGGAAAAGAAATAAGCTGGGAAAAAAATGCACATGTTATGCCTTTCCACCTCAGAAAATAGAAGGCTATGAAAAGTTCTACAGTAAAGAAACATTAACTGGCCAGGCATGGTGGCTCATGCCTGTAGTCCCAGCACTTTGGGAGGCCGAGGCAGGTGGATCACTTGATTCCAGGAGTTCAAGACCAGCCTGGGCAACATGGTGAACCCCCGTCTCTACAAAAAATATAAAACTTAGCCGGGCATGGTGATGCACATCTGTAGTCCCAGCTACTGGGGAAGCTGAGGTGGGAGGATCACTTGAGTCCAGGAGGTAGAGGTTGCAGTGAGCTGAGACCGCACCACTGCACACCAGCCTGGGTGACACAGTGAGACCCTGTCTCAAAACAAACAAACAAACAAACAAACAAACATTGCCGGGCGTGGTGGCTCACGCTTGTAATCCCAGCACTTTGGGAGGCCGAGGCGGGCAGATCATGATGTCAGGAGATCAAGACCATGGTGAAATCCCATCTCTACTAAAAATGCAAAAAATTAGCCGAGCGTGGTGGTGGGCACCTGTAGTCCCAGTTACTCGGAGATGCTGAGGCAGGAGAATGGCGTGAACCCAGGAGGCGGAGCTTGCAGTGAGCCAAGATCGTGCCACTGCACTCCAGCCTGGGCACAGAGCGAGACTCTGTCTCAAAAAAACCAAAAACCAAAAAACAAAAAAAACCAACATTAACTTACGCCAGCATTACCCAGATGTTAAAGTAACCCTTCACTATACAAAACTCAGTGGAAAACACTTGAGGAAATATTCACCCATATTTCAGTGACACCGAACAAATAAGATACTTCCTTGCCAAAGAAATCACAGTCTGGTGGGGGAGACAGGCGAGTACATAAATAATTATAAAACAGATACGCTAAGAGAAGACTTTACCAAGTGACACAAGAGCACAATTTACTACCCTTCTGGAGATGGGCGGGGAGAGATTTTTAGAGTATTTTCACAGGAGGGCAATTTTGAGCAGAATCTTGTCAGAATGGGAATTTCTGAAGTAAAAGAACAAGAAGCCACAGAGCAAGTACTGTCAAAACAGCTCTTGATCTTTCCCTCCAAAATTGCTCCTTCTCTAGTAGTCCCTAAACTCTCAATAAAAATGCTGATTATCCACACTGGATTCAACCCAGAAACCTAGAAATCATCCTTGGCATCTCCCTTTCTCTTACACTCCATGTCAAATCCATCTCTTGAATTAGTCTGCCAATTCAAGCAGACTAAATAGTCTGTTTAGTCTACTGACTTTTACCTTGTACCCCACAATGCTTTCTCCACAAAACAGCCAAAGGTACCATTGTCAAACATTAATTTGAACATGTAAGCACACTCCTCATCCCATCCTCAAAAGCCCTCAATGATTTCCCATTACTTTTTGGATAAATTTTTAAAAATTACTGTCAACTGCAAGGCCTCTGCACACCTCTTCTACATCACAGTTGCTGCCTCTCCCTCTTGCTCACTAACTGCCAATCACACAGACCTCTTTCGTATTTCCGATTATTCCTCCTTGCTGCAGGCCATAAGGACAATGTGTTCCCTCTACCTAAAACAAACATACCCTTTTCAACTCTCCAATTTTCTAATTAATTCCTACTAATTCTTCAGGTCTCAGCTGAAAAGTCTTCCTCAGGTCAAACTCTCCTAAGCCTTTAGATTAGGTTAGATTCCCTTTTCTATCCACACACAGCTCCCTGTACTTCTCCCTAACACTTTCCCCAAGGACCATTATACCATTAGGATGCGTTTTTATTGAGTATCTCTTTCCCTAACCCTATTAAATTGGAAACTCTATTAGGATGGGACCAATTTAATCTTGTTCACCACTGTATCTTCCTGGCCTAATTAGGTCACATAAAAGGCACACCAAAAATGTTAAATGTGAGGCAGCGTCCAGGGAAGGAAAACAGAATGTGCAAAGGCATGTGGCTGCAAATCTATGATGAAACACAATACACAGGTGTGAGAATGACAGAGATGTAATCATGTCCTAGAAAACTGAGACCTTTCCTATTGCTTTTTTTTTTTTTTTTTTTTGAGATGGAGTCTCGCTCTATCGCCCAGGCTGGAGTGCAGTGGCGCAATCTCGGCTCACTGCAAGCTCCGCCTCCCGGATTCACACCATTCTCCTGCCTCAGCCTCCCGTGTAGCTGGGACTACAGGTGCCCACCACCGCACCCAGCTATTTTTTTTTTTTTTTTTTGTATTTTTAGTAAAGACGGGGTTTCACCGTGTTAGCCAGGATGGTCTCGATCTCCTGACCTCGTGATCCGCCTGTCTCGGCCTCCCAAAGTGCTGGGATTATAGGCGTGAGCCACCGTGCCTGGCCTCCTATTGCTTTTATTTGGTCAGGCATTAATGTTCTACATTACAAAATGGAAAAAATTATTTTCCCACTTTTCGAATTTAATATTTATTTGAATACTGGTTTTTTTTTGTTTTGTTGTTGTTGTTGTTGTTTTTTGAGACAGAGTCTCGCTCTGTCACCCAAGCTAGAGTGCAGTGGCACAATCTTGGCTCACTGCCACCTTTGCCTCCCAGGTTCAAAGGATTCTCCTGCCTCAGCCTCCCCAGTAGCTGGGATTATAGGCATGTGCCACCACACCCGGCTTATTTTTCTATTTTTAGTAGAGACAGGGTTTCGCCAAGTTGGCCAGACTGGTCTCGAACTCCTGACCTCAAGTCATCTGCCTGTCTCTGCCTCCCAAAGTGCTGGGATTACAGGTGTGAGCCACTGTGTCCAGCTCTAATACTAGCTTTTTTTGAACTACACTAACTCCATAGAGACCGTGATATTCTCACCTAATCCATCTTCTGTCCTGTCAGAATGACTTCTCTAAGATATCTATGACCATGTTAGTCCTCTAACCAAAATCCTACCATAACATCTATTACTTCCACCAACATTTTGAACTTAGGGAGGGGGTGGATGAGGTGAGAGTCTGAAGAAATCTGTGACTGTCCAGATGAGACATGAGGAAGTCTTGAATCA